CTTTGTACGAGATTATGTTTCTTTGGGAAGCTGGAGGTCATGGGTGTCCCTGCCTGGCATGTAATAGGAGTTCAGTAAACGTGGTGATTATTAGGGGGAAGGGGTTTCACCAGGTGTGACCGCTTTTTTCTAGAAGGCACGCAGACGCTGCAGAACACTGGCAGATTCAGGGCACAAATGGATACTCTTGGCCTCCTTGGCATTTCAGAAAAAAGTATTAATTGCTAACATTTGTAAATGAGGCAATTTCCATTTAAAAAAAAATCTCTATTGCCACTTTTTTGCCTGGGGGAAAAAATCAGAAGTCAGGCAGAAATCAGCTGTCGTAAGAAACAGCTATACTGTCTCAGGTGGTTACCGCCTCCCTGTTGGGATTCACACTTCGGTGGAGCTTGTGGACTGTGGGCCCTTGTGGTGACTCGGTTTCAGTGGCCACGTGACTATGGCCCAGTTCCTCAGTCTCTGTGAGCCTCAGTTTGCTCATTCGCTGTAAATACAGCGGCTGGCGGATCCAGGCAATGTGCGCTCAGCCCGCCCCGTACGTCCGCACGCCCTTCTGGGAGGCACGTGGCCTTGGGGGAGGGGGCGGGATTCTACTGCGGCGGAGTGCAGTCCGTAGATACAACCTTCCGAGGTTCTCCCAACACCTCCAAGTCCCCCGGGTGGCACACCTGGCGCTGAGGTGGCATGACTCAGCCACAGCCACACATGCCCGCTGCAGAAGGCCGCAGCTGGGCCAGACCCCAGCCCGCGGGGCTCCTAGCTTTGGCTTCGCGGCCCCGCCTCCCCCCGGCAGCGGCGGTGGCGCCCCAAAGACGGCCCCCCGGCCTGTTTCAGGCAGCGGAGGAGGAGGAAGAGATGGACCCCCCGGACTCGGCCTCGAGCGTCTTCTGCACCCGCATCCTGAGCATGGTAAACACAGACGACGTCAACGCCATCATCTTGGCGCAGAAGAACATGTGAGTTGGAGCCGCGCGGGGCCCGGGCGTGGGGAGGAATGCGCTTGCCGGCCAACATTCTCGTCCTGCCCGCCCTGGCCCAAGCCCACACTGGTGATAAAATGAAGGAAATGAGCAAATCTGCCTCTGGCTCCAAAGCAAATTCCTCCCCGGCCTGGAGGCGAGGCCTTGGCACAGGAAGCAGGGCTTCCGGAAGGTTCTCGCAGCTGCCGGTGGCTTGGCGGGGGGCCTCGGGGGCTCCTGTCCCAAGAGCCTTTGGCTTAAACGTCGGAAAGTAGGAGGCGGTTCGTCCACTCCAGAGAGGGGACGGCCTTCCCCTCTCCACCGGGCGGGCCGGGATTCGGGTGAGGCCACACACACACAACACCAAGAACAAACACACAAAGACCACACAACGCCCGGGAAGCACCGAGAAACGCGGCCTGACATGAACAAGACACAAACACAAAATCAGCCCACCAGCTCCTTAAGGAACCACCGCGAGCCCCCACAATATACATCTGGAACACACACACAAAAATCCTCACGCCAGGC